TGGACAACAATGGAGCTCTGCAGTACAGAAGAAGAAGATATAGTCACAAACTTGTTAATAGGATACATGGAATTACACATTTTAAATACATATTCAAAATACATAATGGAAATGGAAATCTCTGACCTGCTGTAACTGCTATATTAATGGGATGTCTTTTCATTCACAAAAGCTGGTTTAGACCAAAAAGACTTACCTAGGTAACATTATGTTGCTGTACATTCCTTCAAACTACAAGTCCCTGAACAACCACAACTGTGAAAGTGACAAAAGACACTTACTGCTGCTCATTTGACCTGACATGAAGAACACTGGTCTCCCCAACAAGACCTGTGAGGACACAGTAGACAGCAGATGAATTGAAACTTAAAGTCTGTTCACCTCACAGTTTGACGGATTGTTATTTCATTTTGTATGTTTATATATTTGTACTGGTATGTCCATTTCTAACATGCAAGGACGCCCTAACTCTCATTTAGTGGCTGAACACCTGATCAGTGAGACTGAGAGAAAGGGCAGAGTAGCTTACTTGTTCCTCGGTCACTGAAGATCGCACTGACTCCTTCGTCAAAAGTTAAGTTGATGTTGAAACCTGGGTTACGGGGAAGAAGACAGATGGGCAGTTAGGGGCTGAGCGTGTGGGGGCAAAGATACAAGTTCTTCTCAATAAGGTAACAACACTAAAATTACTAAAGCTATTATCATAATGATAATTGGACTAATCTGATAAGATCATATTTCAGATTCAGGTTATTGGATGTTAGACTTTTTAAAGACCCTATGGACACCCTGCAGTAACACTTGTAGTGCTGGAAGGTTGTGTGGATGACAGCACTGAATATCGGGTGTGTGCTCTGAGTACCTTTCGGTGTGCTGATGGCTCTGTCATTCACAGCTCCTTTAGTCATCACTGGAAACAAAGTCACACAAGACAAACAAACAGTCATTCAGGATAGTGCTGTCACTGTAAAACACTGATGTCAGATAGAAAGACTTTCAGTCATCAGATTGGATTACACACGAAAACCTTAGATATGAACAAAAAAAACCCCGACTGTATATTTTAGCAGAAAACAAATAGAAACACACAACACCATACATAAAATTACCTATTTGACACACCCCTGCACGACACAAGCAGTAGTCAGGCAGTTATAAAGGGTTTTTAGCTGCATTTAGCCCAGGGCTAAAAGCATTTCTAGAAATGTCTTAGCACCAGGCTAACAAAGCTTCATATTGGCACAATCCAGGCACATTCTCCACAGCAGGTTAGCCCAGAGTTTGCCTGGTTATCCACTGAAAATCTATAAGGAACCAGTATGAAACAGGCTAAAGTAAACAAAATGTAAGCATACATGTAAACATTAGCGCCGTGTTCCAAAGGAGATTTAGCCCAGGGCCAGTAGAAGTGCAGTGTGAACAATAGCCCCCCCTTAGGGCAATAGAGGTTATTCCAGGGTTAACTCAATTTGCAGTGTGAAAAGCCTAATAGTTTGGTCTTCAGGTGGAGTCCACCTGGTGAATCCAAGTCAAATATTCACTCTCTTTTAGTTGTGTTGATGTGTTCTACCAGACTCCTGCTAAATGTCCACTATGTTCACCAGCTAGTGACTAACTCTGATGCTAACTGTCTGTCTGCTGCTCAGCAGGTAGTACATTGGTCCTGCTGCAGAAAATGGTGAGACCCATTTGAAGCTGTAATATAGTTTGTGTTATTTTAAATGACTAAACCCACTAAAGTTAATGATAGCAGTTTATGTTCTGCAGCAGAAGAAATGTGACTCTTCCACAAGACATGCCTGTTTTTGTCTCAGTCTCAACATGTAACATGTACACCACACAGGTGTCTGAAATCCTGAACCTGTGTTTCTGGAGTCTGAATGATCCCCATTAGAACATCTAAATTCAGGTGGACCAGAATGAGATCATGCGTTTAATACTAATCCAGATGAGAACACTACATCACAACTGGTTTGTTTTTTGTGTTTTGGTTGTTGTTGAGGTGAGAAGCAGGTTCTGGGGAAAACTCTACACATTGTTAAACCAGAACGGTTCTTCAAGATCACAGAAACATTTAGTTTGTTCTGTAGTTCAGCAGAGTTTCCCTAAACCTCCACCGTGATCATGTTTCAGGTTGTCGGATGCGACCGTGAACACACACAAACACGCATGTAAATGATATCATCCAAACTGATTCCCCCCTACAGGTGACCTATTGGAGACACCTACCTACAATGACTGATTCAATGCAGTCATTTGTTGCATGCCTAATTTATTATATTTTTATTTTATAAGTATTTTATAGTTTTTTATCCTTTTTCTACTCTTCAATACTTTCCCCTGTGCTGGCTGTGCCAAAATTGAATTTCTCTTCCAGAGGTTCAATAAAATCTTATTTTATCTTATCTTATGCCTGCCTCTTCTCCTGTGTCTATCTGCACTATGGACAATGCAACAAATGCCTAAAAACTATTTAAAAAACAGCTGTAGTCCTTTAATTAATGTCATTGCTACGTACAAGCGGAACTGACAAACTATACCTGTATACAACACTGAAGTCCGACTAAGTCTGAACAAAACTGGTAATGGTTCAGTCTGCACTGCTTATTAGACACACAGTGGACACATAATCAGCGGTCAAAGGAGAAGAAGAGCCTGCAGGGCGTCCCTCGCGTGGATCAGCCGCTGTGATGGAAACCTTACCTGTCAGTGTGTGCCAGTCTGGCAGACAGTGGGTTCGGACGTGGCGGCTGTGGAGTGGCAAAGCTAAACGGGACGAGGGGCCGGGACCTCACGGGAGAGCCCTGGACTGTGTCCTGAGGAGAGAGCAGAATCACCATGACACCTTCACTGACTGTGGGGAACTAGGACTGGCTTCAACTGGTTATTAAATTAAGTAATTTAAGTACATTAACTTGAAGAATCAATAATAATAATTCTTAAACACTGAAAATAACTGCTGACAACCACAACCAACACTAGCTATATTAACTTTAACTGTATTTCTAAATTAAATTAAAATTTGAAAGAGCAATCTGTCCATTCATTTAGAAATACAATGAAAGCAGCTGCTTGATATTTATTATTCTCATTAAA